CATGCACCATACACTGCACACACCCACCGCACACACTCACCCCGCACACCAGGTGCCGTGCCCGGCAGAATCACGCGGCGACTTCCAGTCGCCTGAGAGGTCGATGGTGGTGCCGCCGTTCTCAAACCCCGCGGAAAAGATTCCCCCGCCGATGATTTTCTTGTTGCATGCGAAGTCGCTTGTCGTGGGACACGTGCCTGACCATCCTGTTGGGAGCGTGCTGCTGTAGCCCTGGTGGGGACGGGGAGGGTGGAGGGGTGGAGGGGTAGCGGTGGGTTAGTGGGGTGGTGCTGGGACACGTGGCCTCCATGCACAGAAGGGAGCGTGCTGCTGTAGCCCTGCTTCCCAGGACGTGGGTAGGCGATGCGGTGAGAATGAGGGGGAGCGTGGGGAGGGGAGGAGGGGAAGGGGAGGAAGGGGATGAGGTGAGGGGAAGGGAGGGGGTAGCTGAGTTGTGGGATGGGGAAGAATGGCTGATGGCATGGTGATGGTGGTGGGGAGAAGGGACGGGAATGCAAGAGCTTTTATCTAAAGGGGCGGGCGACAGGTGGAGGGAGTGAGAAGGGAGAAGCGCGGATGGTGACGGCAAAGCGAGGCGCGTACCGTGTCATAAAAAAGAACGTGCTCGGGCCATATGCCCGTGTCCAATGCTAATCACCGTGCTGTCGCTATTGACAAACGTGTTGACCCTACTGAGGCCAAGGTGATGCACAACCTACCGTGTCGTCAAAGGAAGCGTGCTCGGGCCATATGCCCGTGTCCACGATGCCAATCACCGTGCCGTCCCCCGCGCTGCTGGGTCCGCCCGCGTCGGCCCAGAGCGACCCGGGCAGGCCGAGGAACTTGTACGAGTCGGTGGTCGCAGGGCGTACCACGCGCGCCTGCGTCACGGAGGCGACAGATGGATGCCGCCTCATGCGCTGCACCTGCGCCGGCGTGAGCGTCGCGGAGAAGCCGTTGGACGCGTGCATGTAGCTGGCGGGGCGGAGAGGGCGGGCGGGCAAGGGGAGACGAGGGAGGGTGCGAAGGGGAGGGAGAGGAGGGGAAACAAGGGGCATGAGGTTCGCTGAGAAGCCGCTTGACGCGTGCATGTAGCTAGCGTGGCGGATAGGGGAAGGGCGGAGAGAAGGGGGGTGGTGATAGGGGATGGGGTGGGAGGGAGGGCCGAGGAAACGGAGGGGGGGGAATGGCATCAGTGGTACGGAAAGGGAGCAAATGGCAGTAATAACGTTTCCCTGCTCCCCCTTCACCTATAGACCATCTTCCCGGCGGCCACCCCGCTGTCTCTCAGCACGGCCTGCTGCATGCGCTGCAGCAGCTGCTTGAACGCCCTCACGCCCGGCGCCCTCACGTTCACCCGCGGCCGCCGCAGTCGACGGCCAAGCCATGATCCTAAACCGCTGGTAGTAGCCGCGCCAGCGGCGGAGGCGGAGGAAGCAGAAGCGACGCCAGCGGCACTGGAACCGGCGGTGGCGTCGTCTGCCGTCGCGTCTGTCGCGTTGCCGTTAGGATCGCTGTCCCACACGGCCGTTGCCGGGTAGCCGGGAAATCCGCCGCGGTACGAGGCGACGGGCGGCGCGGAGCGCAGGCGGACGATATAGAGCGCGGAGACATCGGGGGGGGAAGCTGCGGGGGGATGGGGGAAAGGGGTAAGTGAATGCTTTGGAGCGGCATTAGAACCAACAGTTTGCCGACTCCCTTCGCGTGCCTAGCTTGCAATGAAACGAAATGCGCTTGAATGAACCACCTGAAAGGTACTCGCTGTAAGTACCTATTCGATATCAGCAATTTGCGCATTACAATCATAAATCGTCCAGCAAATCAATAAAAGAGTCTGATTAACGAGCACGGAACATGCGACCGGCTGTGCTCGTACAAGCAAGCGGCTGCGTGCGGCAGCTCGTACCGTGGGTCGGGCGGAGCAACGGCGCTGCGGATAGCGAGACGAGGAACACGAGGAGGGAAAACCAGGTTCGCGTTTCCCGGCGGGGCTGTACAAAGCTGCAGTGCGAGTGGCAGTGTGCGCGGTGCGATAGAAGGGAGTCTCTTTGGGAATGGTCGAGCGGGAATGGATGCCCAGGGAGGAGACTGGGCGAGCCAGAGTGTCTACGCCGAGAGGCCATTTTTCAGGTCTAGCTTCAGGTCGCGTTTAAGTTTGGCGTAGGTGGTATGAGGCAGGGGACGGTGGAACCTCTAAATGCACGCGAGTTTGGTGTGCGTTTTGGCTACTGAGCCTTCTGCGAGGTAAATACTCGTCGCAAACCGCGAATTCTCTTGGCAAGCGAAGCCTCGTGTTGTGCTGTGATGGATTGCGGTGGAACTGGAGAAGTGCTGACTGCGTCACTTGTGGCTAACCAAGAAACAGAAACACGGCTTGCTTGAGTCTTCTCCTTCATCCCTTGCTCGCTTGCTTCTTACTTTTCCTCTAAGCGCGTTACTGGTGCTGCTGGGTGGAAGTCGGTGGGCGGGGAATGGAAGGGAAGGGCGACTACACGAAATCCCGGTTACCCGGTCATCAATTGCTGCTCGCGTTCCTCGCGATTCAATGGTGGGCTGCGGCGGCTGCGCCTGACCGGGTCGCGGGGAGTTAGCGGAATGAAGAAGAGGGGAGAAAGGAAGGTTTGGGGGATAAATATCGTTGTGCGGTGGTGACCGAGGAAGAGCGGATTGCTTTGGGGGGTATGGATGGAAAGGCGCTGTGGTGGTCGGGTGGTGCGGTGGTGGTATGGCAGCGGCACGGGATCAGGTTGGGTTTTGGTCTGGTTAGGAGAGAAGTTGGGGGAAAAAGCAAGCTGGCTTCTGGGTGATTGGATGGGCAGGGAGAACTGGGGGAACGATACAGTACAGTCGACCCCTGCGGGGAAGCTCGCTTTGCGGCGCGAGTGGGTTCGGGCAGATCCTGAGGGCAAACACCCTTGATCTGGTGCACTACAGTCCACCACAGGTGTCAGCAGAAAAAGACATCTCCACGCCGAGGCTCAGAGCTGGTCCAGCGACGACTCTTGAAGACGCATACTGTATTGATTTTTCTTCAAGGATCAGCAATTCTTCTTTTAAAAAAGGACAATTATGCGGTACGAGTTTCAAGAGTGAAGGTGGAATGTCAACGAGGGCAAGGTATGAAAACGAATCTGTCCACTCCGCTTCGGACAAATTTTAGTAAAAAATAATTTGGAACACTCCCTAAGCTTGTGCAGCTTATAAATCTGATACGCAAGCGCAATTGCTGGACTTTCGCCTGTGTGTGGACCTGCCAGGGCTGGACGTTTGACGTGTCCACTGCATTTTCTTCGAACTGTGCGCTTGCAAGATTGGCATTGTTCCTATATGCGTCTGTACATGTGCATATACTGGGGAGTTTGGTTTGGAGGTTTGGGAAATGGGCGCTTGGTTTGGGGCGCTCGTGCGGGAGGTTGTTGGTCCCAGCCTTTTTGTTGGTCCCAGCCTTTTTGCATAGCAGATGGTTATTTGCAGTTCATGGTGTACACTACTCGGGCTGGTGAAACCCAAACCACTCGAGATGAGCATCGTACTCAGTCGCATTTACCGAACAAGTAAATCCTAAGCGAACAATGCACTAGTGAGTCGAAACGGGAACACACAAACGGGAACAACTTTTGGAGTCACAACCAGGCAGGCAATTGAAGCATGGCCGTCTCGCAGTCCGTAATTCCCGGCCGAACTTGTAACTGGGCACCTGAATTCTGAAGCTACCCTACTCAACCTTTCCCCTCCTTCACGACCGTTAACGACACCGCGCCCGACCCCATTCATATCTTGCGCCTCGTTCCCAATTGCTTCACATCAGCGACACGACACAGATCCCCGCGATGTCGTGATCCGTGTCGCGCGTGTCACGCCGCGTCGTCGTTCCGGGTCCACGGTTCCGATGGACGCGACGGCGTCAACGTATTTCTGACGCGCCCTTGTCCTCCCGTTCGCATCGGAACTCAAAACTCGTCTCTTTGTGGCTCCGGCGGGAATCCCGATGGACGCTACTGCATCGACGTACCCTCCCCCGCCGCCCTACTACAAGCTCTACGCCGCGTACGACCCCCACACGCGCACCGGCGGCCCGCCCCCGCCTCCCGCCATCACCGGCGAATACGTGTCCTTCGGAGCCCCGTACAACGTGAGTTAGTACACAGTTTTTTTGGTGCTTGAATTGAAGTGTAGGACGGTCAGTTGGTTTGAGGAGCACGCTACGCTCTACGGAAGGTCGGTTGGTTTCGGACGCACGGGGGTGCACAGGGACGCACAGGGATGCACAGGGATGCACAGGGGCGCACAGGGATGCACAGGGAATCAAAGGGCCACGGCAACTATAGTCTGCCCGGAGCCACACAGGGGGCCGTTCAGTCGTTTTTGAGACCCGCTCTGTCCCTGTGAGACCCGCTATGTCCCTGTGAGACCCGCTCTGTCCCTGTGAGACCCGCTCTGTCCCTGTGAGACCCGCTCTGTCCCTGTGAGACCCGCTCTGTCCCTGTGAGACCCGCTCTGTCCCTGTGAAACCCTTGCTAACGCGTGAGTGAACCACGCTCTGGTGCATGCTGAGTCTGTCACTGACTGAGCGTTTTGCTATGGAAAAGGTGAGCTCCCTTCGGCCCTGTTAATATCAAGTGCATCTGAAACGACCTGGTTCCCAAATGTTATGCAAAGAGATATGTGCTTTGTTTGAAATACTCATTTCCCCGTGCACAGTTGACCGAGGGTCCATTTTACACAGCTCGGATCCTTTCCTCTTCTGCTCTCTTGCCTCATTCGCTTCTCCATTAATCTCTTTCTCCCTGCTCTCTTGCCCCCTGATCTCTTTCTCCCTGCTCTCTTTCCCCCTGATCTCTTGCCCCCTGATCTCTTGCCCCCTGATCTCTTGCCCCCTGATCTCTTGCCCCCTGATCTCTTGCCCCCTGATCTCTTGCCCCCTGATCTCTTGCCCCCTGATCTCTTGCCCCCTGATCTCTTGTCCCCTGCTCTCTTGCCGCCTGCCCCCGGGGCCGGCAATGCAATGCAACGCAATGCAGACGGAGGATCGGCTGCCGAGCCTGGAGGAGCAGGGCGTGCGGCAGCTGTTCCCCTCCACCAAGAATATGAGTGAGAACTCACGCTGCACGCGGCGGCGTGTGTGCCGTGCCATGTCGGCATGTCACCTTTCCGTCACGTGCTCACAATTTCTAGTCCCATCGTGCTATGTTGGTGTCATGGTCTGTGCAAGCCGGGTCATCATGTCATGTTGGTACTTAAAGTGACAGCAATCTATTATTCCTCTTATCCTAGACGTTGCCATTCTCTCATGGTGGAAAGTCATTACGGTTAAGCCATCAAGCCAAAAATTGATAAAGCCATCAAGCTGTAAAGGCAAGGCCTATTCTTTTCCACGAGGCACGCACGCCAAGCCAACCTCATCACACCTTGTCCATTTTGCCACCCGCTCCTTTCTCCTTCACATCACACCCACAGAGCAAGCGATAATAGTCATGATCAGGCCTATCCTCCTCCTCGGCCTTGTCATGTCCCTCCAGACACACGTGCAGAGCAGAAGGCATTGGGTGCGAGCTGGAGCTGCTGGCATTGGAGGAGCTGGCAGGCATGCCGGTGGTGCAACTGCCATGCTTAGGCCTCTCCTCCTCTCCACCCACTCACCCCCTCCTCCTCCTCCCTCCCTCCCTGACCCAGACGCACGTGCAGAGCCGAAAGCGCTGGTGCTGGGGCCGGCACACGTGCCGGTGGTGCAACTGCCATGCCCAGGCCTCTCCTCCTCCCCTGCCTCGCCGTGTCCCGCCAGACACACGTGCAACGTCAAAATCACTGGGAGGGACGGGAGCTGGGCCTGCTGCTGTTGTAGCTGGCAGCCGTGCTGGTAGCATGGCTGCCATGCCTCTATGCCCTTCTCCTCCTCTCCACCCACCACCCGCCTCTCCCCTCCCTCTCTCCAGCAGACACGCGTGCAGAGCTGAAGCACTAGGCCGTGTGCTGGGCCTGCTGGTGCTGGAGCTGGCGGACGTGCAGGCGGAGCGACTAAGATGCACTCAGGCCTCTCCTCCGCGCCTGCCTTGTCTTGTCCCCGCCCCGCAGACACGCGTGCAGAGCTGAAGGCACTGGGGCGGGAGCTGGGCCTGCTGGTGCTGGAGCTGGCGGACGTGCTGGTGGAGCGGCCATCGCAGGCAGGGCGGTGTGTGGAGGACATCTCGCTGCTCTTCACCAACCTGCACTTCCTCCTCAACTCGCTGCGCCCTCACCAGGTGCTCTCATTAGGTGCCCACCACCATGCACCCCATCAGGTGCTCCATCAGGCGCTCCATCAGGTGCTCCATCAGGCGCTCCACCAGGTACCCCATCAGGTGTCTTCACCAGTTGCCCTCACCAGTTCAAGCCGTCATCATTTGCTCAGCACCATCAAGGCACCAACCAGGTCGTAGCATGCCCCGCTGCATGGCAGTCCATCACCACCACACTGCATGCCTTATCCCCTTTTCTGCTGCACCTCGTCTGCTTTCATTCCGTCCCTCGCCAGGCGCGGGCAGCACTCACACACATGCTCAGGGCGCAGGTGGACATGCACAAGCAGTCCCACGCTGCATGCCTTACTCCCTTCTTTGCTGCACCCCAACTGCTTCCTCCCCTCCCATGCCTCCAGGCGCGGGCAACACTCACACACATTCTCAAGACGCAGCTGGACATGCGCAAGCAGTCGCTGCAAGGCATCAAGGAGTGAGCACCCTAATCATCCTAATCACCCTAATCATCCTAATCACCCTCATCATCCTAATCACCCTAATCATCCTAATCACCCTCATCATCCTAATCACCCTCATCATCCTAATCACCCTCATCATCCTAATCACCCTCATCATCCTAATCACCCTCATCATCGTAATCACCCTCATCATCGTAATCACCCTCATCATCCTAATCACCCTCATCATCCTAATCACCCTCATCATCCTAATCACCCTCATCATCCTAATCACCCTCATCATCCTAATCACCCTCATCATCCAAATCACCCTCATCATCCTAATCACCCTCATCATCCTAATCACCCTCATCATCCTAATCACCCTCATCATCCTAATCACCCTCATCATCCTAATCACCCTCATCATCCTAATCACCCTCATCATCCTAATCACCCTCATCATCCTAATCACCCTCATCATCCTAATCACCCTCATCATCCTAATCACCCTCATCACTCTAATCACCCTCATCATCCTAATCACCCTCATCACCCTAATCACCCTCATCATCCTAATCACCCTCATCATCCTAAGCGCCCTTACCACCCCTTGAAGTGCCTCAGCCTGCTCTCCCTTGAAATGCCTCAGCCTGCTCTCCCTTGAAATGCCTCAGCCTGCTCTCCCTTGAAATGCCTCAGCCTGCTCTCCCTTGAAATGCCTCAGCCTGCTCTCCCATGAAATGCCTTCTTTCATCGCGTCTCAGTGGTGTGGCTCTTTTTGCTTGTTGGCTTTCCTCCACACATTCACCGTGCACCAGCCCGCCACAAGATCACCGTGCACCAGCCCGCCACAAGATCACCGTGCACCAGCCCGCCACAAGATCACCGTGCACCAGCCCGCCACAAGATCACCGTGCACCAGCCCGCCACAAGATCACCGTGCACCAGCCCGCCACAAGATCACCGTGCACCAGCCCGCCACAAGATCACCGTGCACCAGCCCGCCACAAGATCACCGTGCACCAGCCCGCCACAAGATCACCGTGCACCAGCCCGCCACAAGATCACCGTGCACCAGCCCGCCACAAGATCACCGTGCACCAGCCCGCCACAAGATCACCGTGCACCAGCCCGCCACAAGATCACCGTGCACCAGCCCGCCACAAGATCACCGTGCACCAGCCCGCCAGCTAGTGTGACCTGACGACATCACAGCAGCAGCACTGCACCGAGTGCCACCTCATGGATGCACCGACTGCCACCTCATGGATGCACCGAGCAGCACTGCCGCTGTGACCTCTAGGGCTGCCGCTGTGACCTCTAGGGCTAGCGCTGTGACCTCTAGGGCTGGCGCTGTGACCTCTAGGGCTGCCGCTGTGACCTCTAGGGCTGCCGCTGTGACCTCTAGGGCTGGCGCTGTGACCTCTAGGGCTGGCGCTGTGACCTCTAGGGCTGCCGCTGTGGCCTCTAGGGCTGGCGCTGTGACCTCTAGGGCTGGCGCTGTGACCTCTAGGGCTGGCGCTGTGACCTCTAGGGCTGGCGCTGTGACCTCTAGGGCTGCCGCTGTGACCTCTAGGGCTGGCGCTGTGACCTCTAGGGCTGGCGCTGTGACCTCTAGGGCTGCCGCTGTGGCCTCTAGGGCTGGCGCTGTGACCTCTAGGGCTGCCGCTGTGACCTCTAGGGTTGGCGCTGTGACCTCTAGGGCTGGGGCTGTGACCTCTAAGGCTGGCGCTGTGACCTCTAGGGCTGCCGCTGTGACCTCTAGGGCTGGCGCTGTGACCTCTAGGGCTGGCGCTGTGACCTCTAGGGCTGCCGCTGTGACCTCTAGGGCTGGCGCTGTGACCTCTAGGGCTGCCGCTGTGACCTCTAGGGCTGGCGCTGTGACCTCTAGGGCTGGCGCTGTGACCTCTAGGGCTGGCGCTGTGACCTCTAGGGCTGCCGCTGTGACCTCTAGGGCTGGCGCTGTGACCTCTAGGGCTGGCGCTGTGACCTCTAGGGCTGGCGCTGTGACCTCTAGGGCTGCCGCTGTGGCCTCTAGGGCTGCCGCTGTGACCTCTAGGGCTGCCGCTGTGACCTCTAGGGTTGGCGCTGTGACCTCTTGGGCTGGGGCTGTGACCTCTAAGGCTGGCGCTGTGACCTCTAGGGCTGCCGCTGTGACCTCTAGGGCTGGCGCTGTGACCTCTAGGGCTGGCGCTGTGACCTCTAGGGCTGCCGCTGTGACCTCTAGGGCTGGCGCTGTGACCTCCAGGGCTGCCGCTGTGACCTCTAGGGCTGGCGCTGTGACCTCTAGGGCTGGCGCTGTGACCTCTAGGGCTGGCGCTGTGACCTCTAGGGCTGCCACTGTGACCTCTAGGGCTGCCGCTGTGACCTCTAGGGCTGGCGCTGTGACCTCTAGGGCTGGCGCTGTGACCTCTAGGGCTGGCGCTGTGACCTCTAGGGCTGGCGCTGTGACCTCTAGGGCTGCCACTCTACTGTATCGTTCTCGAATATGAAACCCGTGCTGTCGTTCATTCGTAGCTTGCTGCATTTCCCTGTGCAATATACCCGTTGGGAGGTGCACATCAAATTCGTGAACGACAATCAATCATCTCATTGACCAGCCATCCAAGTCCCTCTTTCCTCACTCTCCCCCTCATCTCTCCTCTCTTTTCCCTACGTCCCATGCTGCAGGCAGCGAGCAGCGGTGTGGGAGGTGCTGAGGCTGGCGGTGGGAGAGGTGGAGGCCGCCACACGAGGGGAAGCTGGCGGTGGGGGCAGCAGCAAGGGCGGTGCAGAGGGGGTGGAGGTGGAGGGAGGGGGAGGCGGCAAGCAATGAGAGAACGCATGGGCGTTTCTTTTATATGGCAGCAGTGTGGGCAAGATTGTGGTGGGGGTAGCAGCAAGAGTGGTTCATAGGGCGTGGAGGAGGGAGGGGAAGGGAAGTGGTGAAGAACTGGTGGGAAGGCAGGGGGGGATGGGAGGTGGGGGAAGGAGGGAGTGAGGGGTTGGAGGGTATGTGATTGCGAGATCGAGCAGAGGCTGCGCAGTCTCTTGACAGACGTTTCTAGGCGCTCAAAAGCTGTTGCTTAACATGCACGTTGTTTCTTTCGTGGGATTATACGCTGACTGTCTCGCGTGCAACCATCAGAAAAGGTGTACGAGAGAATGACATCTCCGGCGGCACGGCGTTCACTTGAAATTAAACAATCTGACATACCAGTAAGCACCACGTGCTGTTGAAAGTGCTTCACTTCTTTTGTATAAAAGCTTGTATCGTCATCGCCTGGATAGAAGATAGTGTTGAATTATGACATAGGTATCTTATATGCAGGTGTATTCTTATAAAAGGAACTTCTCTTTGTAAGACACTCATTTGCTTGTATAAGAAGACACCCATCGGAGTATCTTATAAATAACATATTAATAGGGTCTTTCTAGCTTTGAACATCAAATGCATAGGGAATTCACGTTTTCTAAGCACTACCTCATTTAGCACACAAGTGCAAGCAGCAATTGCCGTACACCTTCTATATATCTGTCACTCTAAAACACTTAATTCAGGACCATCCAATGCCACTCCTGCCACTGTCCATGCATTTGGGGCAGTCTATGCTGGCTTCACGAGCTTCTCTGCTGCTGCTGCTGCTGCTGCTGCTCCACTGTGGTGCTCGGTATCGGAGTATGGGTCATCAGAGTCCCAGCATATGCAACTGCCACCATGTCCTCATCAAGGTCCTCCTCTTCCTCCTCCTCAGTGCCTTCTCTCCCACCAAACCCACTATTGTCACCAAAGGTCCCTCGCAATGACATGTCCTCCGAGACATCCATCATGCTCCTTGTTCGCAATTGGGCCACGGCGAGGTGGTTCTCCTGGCCGTCAGGACTACTGGGAGCGCCGCATGTCTCGAAGTGTTATTGCTGTGGTTATTCTTGTTGGTGTTGCTTGCTTGCCTACTAGCCGGCTAGATACCTAAACTGCATGCTAGAATTGCTGATTCTTACATGCCTTGCCTGTACTATCAATGAAGGACCGCTTGAGAGAGAGAGAGAGAGAGAGAGAGAGAGAGAGAGAGAGAGAGAGAGAGAGAGAGAGAGAGAGAGAGAGAGAGAGAGAGAGAGAGGAGAGGGGTAAAGAGAGAAAGAGGGAGAAAACAAGAGTGAGGCTTATCATACAGTGTTTCTAAATTTCATTACTTGCTTATGCATAGACCGGGAACTTTGCATGCCTCTAGTGTAGGAGCTTGTGTTGTTGCTAACCCAGCTTCGACCACTATTGACATGTCACTCTCCTTCACGCTCGACTCTTGCGTGTCCCAGTGCTTCTTCCGTGACCACACCACTGTCTTGCCACTCCCAATGCCAGTTGTAGTCACTTTGGCCGACCCTACCTTTGGACCAGTTATCGGTTGTTGTACTACCACACTCCCGTGTTCGGAAGTCCCCTCGGGTTCCTTCATAGGTCTCCACATCCCCTCGTTCTCCAGGAAACTTTTGGGTGTTGGCCGTCTTCAAGACCTTAGTATCACCACCACGTATCCTAGACACGAGAGGTTTGCGACCTGCATGGACACTACCATCGGGGCACCATTTTCCACATTTTCGAGGGAGCCTATGTCAGGTCTTTTCATCCTGCACAATGCGTCCCCCTAGGTGTTTGCGTCTAGTCAGCTCGCTGCGTTCGGTCTGGTTGCCACGTCTGTACTTGTCGGTCTCTCGCTCACCCATACCTTCTTGGCATCACCGTCTAGGTCGCCTTACACTCCCAAGTCTCCTTCACATGGCCAGGCCCCGTTTTGTCTCAGGTCTACCCCCCCCCCCCCCCCCCCCCCCCAACTCACTCCGTGTACGCTTTGCGTCGAGGGTCGGCAGCGTGCTGCCCCTCAATCCTCGCTTTCGCTTGCAACTGCGCCTCTTCAGACTTTGCACTTAGACGTCTGAGGTCCTGCCCTAGTCGCTAGGCTGCATCACGAGCGCTACTTCTCCGTGGTTGTATATTACTTACCACAATGTTTCCTTTGGAGTGGAAGGCCGACATTTTTTTTATGCTCTCATCCCATGGTTACTGGCCACTCGCTCCCAGCGCACCCTCCCTATGTTTCATGTACACTCTGACCGCAATGGTGAGTTCACCTCCCACTGGCTTGCCCATTTCTGCAGCGAGCAGGGCATCACCTAGTCTTTCACCTTTCCAAAATTGCCGCAGCATAATGGGGTAGCTAGGCGTTGCATAGGCTTGGTCATGGAGATCAAATGCACCTCCATGATTCATTCCCATGCACCCCATTTTCTATAACCGTTTGCAGTCTGCTACGATGCGTATCAGTTGAACATGTGCCCTCGTGTCTCACGCCCACATGATTCACCGGCCCTTCTCTGGTCTGGGTCACCTGGTGTCACGACTCCGTTCCGAGTCTAGGGCTGCCTTGAGCATGTCCATGATTCTCGTGCAGATAATGTCCCAACCTGCCCTCTTTCGTGTGTCTTCCTTGATTTCTCCGTTGACGCCCCAGACTGTCTATTCGACCACCCTTCCTCCCACTGTGTATTTCACTCTTGTGATACCACTTTTGACGAGTCAGTGTCCTTCTACATATTGTATTCTTATAGAGGTGCCCTGGTTCCCCCCCCCCTCCCCTCTTCCTCACTCCCACTCTTGATCCTGGTCCTGCTCCTCAGGTAGTCCTACCCCCCCTGCGTCCTGCTCTGTTTGGTGTGTCGTGGGTTACCCCCCTTCCCTTAGTTGTACCTCCTGCATTGTCTCCTTCAGCATAAACCCTCTCATCATCCTCCTAGTCGCCGCAACAACTTTCGGTGTCGCCGTAGCTGGTCATAGTGGACATTGGGGGTGTTGACGCTGGTGGTACTGGTACCGAGGTTGCTACTACTAGGGCTGCTAGTTCAAGGGGTTTTGGTTCTGGGGTTGCTGCCTCTGGGGTGCTAGCACTGGAGGTACTGGTACTTGGTGTGCTACCACGGAAGAGTCTGCTCAAGCGGGAATGTGCCGGTCGATGAGGTTGCAGCTCCTACAACATCAGCGTCAACAGCAACCGCTGCAGCGTCAGAAGCAGTAGCAGCAGCAGCGGTAGCAGACACTGCAGCCGCCGCCGTCGCCAGTGATGGCACTTCGTCACTTTGGTCTTCCTTCCCCTTCGACATACCACTCACCATCTTTCCCAATTTACGATCCCCCGTTTCCTCCCCCAAACTTATCTCTAGCTTGTTAACCTCATCTGTCACAGTTGTCTCCTCCCCTGCTTCCTTTTCCATCTATTGCCTCCACTCCCTGGCACTGTCGTCCCCTCGGTGCCCGTGCCTCGTCCCCTGTCCATGACCTCCACTCCATGTACCTTCGTACTCTCCCTCTTCGTCTTCCACCTCCCTCTGTTCTTCCGTTGCCTCCAGCGTCGTCTCTCACTATCTCTCCTCCACCTTTCTTTGACTATCTCCGACATATCACCCTTTCGTCTCCCTTCTCCTCTCAGCTCGGCTCTTGTTGCCGCTGCCACTAACTTTGCCTCCACCCGCTTGCCTTGACTACGCCACCCAAATGGCAGCTGCTCCTACTGCCTGCCCTCATACCACCAGGGATGGTCCTGCCTTCAGCTGTAACATCCAAGAGGACAGGCAGTTCGAGCTAGCCTTCCTTGCGGCTGCTGCTCCTCACCTCTGTGCCATGCTACTAGCCTTTGAGGGAGACCCAGACATGGTTGAGATCCCGACTTCTCGCACTTACGTTGAGGCGATCTCGGGTGGGTGGGTCTCTCAGTGGATAGCAACCATGTACACCAACATTGCATTTTGAAGGTCCAATGGCACTAATGTCGATGCAGTTACCCTTCTTAGGGCGAACATCGTTGATGGCATGTGAATACATTTAAGGTATGCTATGCGACGAGAGGCTTTAGCCAGCGTGAAGGAGTAGACTTTTTTCAGGCCTTCTCCCCCACCCTGAAGATGACTACTCCTCGGGTACTACTGCACATCGTAGCATGCGAGAGGCTTTCATCAGCATAAAAAAGTAGGCTTCCAGGCCTTCTTCTCGACCCTGAAGATTACTACTTTTCGGGTACTGCTGCACATCTCAATAGAATCTTCTACGACCTTTCTCAAGGGCAGCCGGCATGAGCAGATTTGGCTCTGCCACCCTCCTAGCTTCATTTTCTATTTCTTGCCTGGGGCGCAGTGGAGACAGTGCCAGCGCCCTGGCTAGTGAGGATCTTGTAATGGCAGGGCCCGGTATCGCGACGATGTGCCCCCTAGCTATTAGGGTCGCCATTGCGGCCAACGCTCCCCAGAACACCAGATCTATACTACTGCGGAGGACCCTAGTGCTGGAACTGCTACTATTGCTGCTGTAATTTCTACTGATGCTGCTGCTGAGACCCCACCACACTCCTATGACCAGCGCCTCCTTTGGTTGGACCTGCAACCCAGGCACCGCCTCTAGTGTTAGCTCCCCCAGAGAGTCAAGTAGACCCACCACCTCCGCCACCTCCACCACCTCCACCTCCGTCGCCCTTCCAGAAGCAGCAACAGCTGTAGTATCCTCAGGAGAAAAAGAAATAGCAGTAGAAAGAGAAGTAGTATAGGTAGGGAGCTAGGGCAGAGCGCACCCCTCAAAGACATGGGGGGCTATTCCACCATTAACAGATGCAACGGAGCGAAGGTGCTCCTTGATCTCACTATGAGTGGTCTCAATAAGGTCGATGGTGAGCTCGGTAGGGTGCCTACCAAGGAGAGTAGCGCGTTTAGATGAGAGGCGGTCAGGGAGACACGTCACAATGAACTAGAGGGTGATGTGGATAGGGGGAGGGTGGGTCTCAAGCTGGGCAGGGG